GATGACAAATGCCCACCCCTGTGTTCAAACCAAGGCTGTCTGTAGAGTACTTCCCACATGTGACATAAGGGCACCATTGGGGAGTTAGCTCGTCCAGCCTCCTCACAACACTTGTGAGCTGTTTGTCTGTTCAGGAAATTCCCTGTCATCATTTATGGAGTTCCCCCAAGCTCTTCTGCTGCCCTTTCTTCTCATTTAAAGGACTTCAGGCTGTATCTACAACCAGCTGCCCTCTCTCAGTCTTGGCTTTCCTTCCTTTTTGCAGGGGTCCCCTGTGGTCCTTTCACCTACCGCTGTGAAGATGGGACTTGTGTGAAGAAACCCAACCCGCTGTGTGACACCACTGCAGACTGCAAGGACCTGTCTGATGAGAATCACTGTGGTGAGGAAATGATCAGCCACACGTCAGCCAGGCAGGTTCAGGATGACACGTAGCTGCAAGTTGCCCCATTTTCTCCCACCACCCAGAAGAAGCAGCCACCCTCCCTTGTTCCACCACCTCAGTCCCACAGTACCAGTGTACCTGCTCCACCCTGCAGTGGCAGGGACAGCAGCAACAAGCCAGCTCTGTGCTGAGTGTGAGCAAGCTCTTGCTCTTTGGACAGTCGCTCCCTGCCTCCTTCAGGCAGAGGCATCAGGCCAGACAGACATGCCTGACAGGCCAGATTCAACCTACAGGCTGCCTGTTTGACCACTCTGTCAGCTAATATGTCATTGTTCAAGGCTCCAGCCAGGAAAATCACCCACATCTGCATGGCCACTGGCAGGGAGAGAGTTAATATTTTGATTTCCCTACTTGTTTTTTTTTCTGGAGCCTCAGGAGGCAGTGAAGGAGAATGACAGGGAGGGTTTCCTGACAGCACAGCAGTTAGCACAGTCAGCATGCTACCCCAAAGGCATCCCCAGGCTGCAGCTGGAGGTGGGGAATGCTGGGAGGGAGTGCTCACTAGACCTGTCCTGGGCAGTACATAAAGCATGTGCTGGCTGGGTAAGACAAGCAATTAGAGGTCAAACTCTTCAGTTAACTAAGTAGGAATGGAAGGGCAGGCATAGTGTTTCATGTTCCCTTCCTTCCCTAAGTACCTGCTGTGTCTCCTCCTCAGACTGTGGGATGCAAGCCCCTCTCAGCAGGATTGTGGGTGGTATGAATTCTGTGGAAGGAGAATGGCCGTGGCAGGCCAGCCTGCAAGTTCGGGGCCGGCACATTTGTGGGGGAACACTCATTGCTGACCGCTGGGTGGTCTCAGCCGCGCACTGCTTCCAGGATGAGAGGTAAACGGAGAGGGGAGGTGCTGGTTGAAAGATTTGCATTGCTTTCCACGTCATGCATGATGGGAGACTATTCTGACTGATGAAAATATCATGGGGCAGCTGCACTCCTCCTCTGGCACCTCAGCCATGCTTCTCCATGGCTTGGAACCAAAGAAAGGGGTATGGATATATGCAGTATTATCTGGTGGTGTGTGCAGAGGAAAAGGGGCAATGCCGAGATTCGCAGAGCAGCTTCCAGGGGGCAGTGATAGCGGAAGATGCTGCACAGCTCCACCTTTGTTTTGGCTCTGTGTTGTCCCCACGCTGTCACAATGATGGGGATATCAGCATGTGCTAGGATGGGGATAGCATTACCTGCAAAGTGTGCCCTTTGGGTCCCATGCTCCTCTGCTGCATCCTACAGGCTGGCCTCCCCCTCCATCTGGACCGTTTACTTGGGTAAATACTTGCAAAATGCCACCGGCCACACAGAGGTGTCCTTCAAGGTTATCCATCTCTTTCTTCACCCTTATTATGAGGAGGACAGCCATGATTATGATGTGGCCCTGCTCCAGCTGGATCATCCTGTGATCATCTCACCCTTAATCCAGCCCATCTGCTTGCCTGCTCCATCTCACATCTTTGAGCCTGGCCTTCTTTGCTGGATCACTGGCTGGGGAGCCCTCAAGGAAGGAGGTAGGTTCAAGGTCTCTTGGTGGCCTACTGCAGCAGTGCTGAGGCAGAAACATAGGTTCAGATGGGTCATAGGCACAACAGGCTTCTGTTCATCCCAAAACATTGTGCCTCCTTCACTCCTTCTGATTTTGGGTAATAGGTTGACCAAAGTAACCTGTTGAGTGCCCTGAAACCTCATGTGGTGAGGCAGGCATGCAGTCTGGTAATCTGTATGGGAACAGTGTGTGTTTCCTCATTCAAAGACTAGAATAGTCCTTCTGGTCAGTTTAGTGCCTTCACCCACTTACAGACTTATTCCAGCTGCTTCCCAATTGGAAACACTCAGGAGACTATACAGAACTGGACACTCCTGGTTTGTACTCTTAGACAGAAGAGCTTAACACCCCTTTCAGTGAGAAACAAACCCAAGACTCTGACAACCCAGAGGTTTCCCCAAAGCAGAATACTCCTTGTCCCAAAAGCTGAAGTACCCACAACATATGCCTGTAGGGAAAGGAATGAAGGGGCATTTTATGCCTTCCACCCAGAAAAAGTGCTCTGCTCAAAGTCAGAGACTGTGATGCCAGTGGAGAGCGGAACAGAAATTCCAATGGCAGGTTTCAGCATGCAGTGAGGTAGCCATGGTCTAGGGGAAGTTCCACCATAGCTCACCTGTGCTAATTTTGGTGCTCTACTTTTCAGGGCATATCAGCAATGTTCTGCAGAAGGTGGACGTGCAGCTCATCCAGCAGAACATCTGCAGTGAGGCTTATCACTACATGATTACTCCCAGGATGCTGTGTGCTGGGTACTACCAGGGCGAGAAGGATGCTTGCCAGGTGACACAGGAGTTGTGGGATCAGGGTTGACTACCAAAGGGGATGTGTACTACACACTTGGGATGTGTCCCAAGTCTCACAAATGCAATGCACAGCCTGAAATGAGGGGGAAAAGACCATATAAGGTCACTCTCCCAACACTTCCTCTGATCTAAGTAGCCAACAACAGCTCTCATGACCACTTCTTCCCAGCATCCTTCCCTTAGGATCCAAATACAGTTAAATTACCCTTTTCTCATTTCAGCCCATTCTCCACTCTACCTCCTACTTCCAAGTCAGGTGACTACATCAGTCTCTTACACCCTCAGCCTCTTTAGCACCTGTCATACACAATAACCTGTGTGCTCTTTCATTACTATTAATCTCAAGGAATTCCTCTCTGCCACCCTTCATGGAATCCAGTTAAATTCCAACAATCATCCTTGCCTGTCACATCCTTGGAAATGCCATGTGGGCCAGGAGGCATCAGAAGAGCAATCAGCTTTTTGGGCTGAGGGGGAGGAATTTGCATGATGAAGGAATAACTGCGTCAGATGTTTGCACTGGAGACTGTTTTTGACATCTTTTTAAAGTACAAGGAATGTTACAGATGTCCCAGGCATGAGTTGAGGGGATACAGGGATCTGTATACAGAGGGGCTCAAAGACAACCTAATCAGGCATCAGCAGAAGCTGGTGGATCACCACCACTTGATTTTACTTTTCTTTTTTCTAGGGTGATTCTGGAGGTCCACTGGCCTGCAAAGAACCCAGTGGCAGATGGTTTCTGGCTGGTTTGGTCAGCTGGGGAATGGGATGTGCACGTGCAAATCACTATGGAGTATACACCAGGATCACTCAAGTGCTGGGCTGGATGAACCAAACCATGAGCTGACAAAAGTGCATCTCTGTCTTCTCCCCATCACACCTACACTCACATGGCACTCATTCCTGATCTTGCTCACTTGCCTCCCAAAGAAAGAGAATGTGGGATGCTGTCAGACCCAGGATGCTCTTCTGAACTAGGTAAAAAAAGGCTGCTGCAGGGATTGTGGAGAAAAGCAGGCAGATCCCTGCTTTTTTTTTTTTTTTCTCCCTTAGTGCTTCCCAGGGAGCATCCCAAGAGGTTTTTAGGCCATCCATCCAAAAGCAGGGAGAAGGGAGGCAGGTGGGGGAGTTTGGGGCAATGACACACAGCAATAGGCCCAAGCTGATGGTTTCTGAGAAGAGGAATAAGGGGATTTGAACTTTCCATGAACCATGTGATTCAGCCACAGTCTTATGCTGGAACATTTGCTGAAAGAAAATGTGACTGATGTAGTTAGAGATTCCAGTAACTGTGAAATCAATCTGCCTCCCTCTTCCTTCCTGCTGCTTATCCTTCATCTCCCTTCCCCTCCCATCACTCCTCCTCTTCCATCTCCCTAATTGCTTCTTTTCTTAGCTGGCGTGTGCTGCTCAGTGTGCTGTTCAGCTCAGCCAGCCAACTCTTCACGTCTCACTGACTCCCAGGCATGAGCCCAGCATCGCACCCCCAAGCACGTGTCCTGCCTCCCTGCTGGAGCAGCACCCAGCCTCCACTGCTGCACTTCCCCCAGTAAAAATGCTGGAGCAGACTCCCATCCCCTTCCTTCAGCCCTTCTAAATACCTTTAACATCAGGGCATCTCAACCTCTCCCATCTCCTATCTCAGGTAATGCAGGAGATGAAGGAGAAGGCTTCAGGGCACAGGGCTTAAACTGCAACTGCTGCTGGTTTGGTTTTCAAACTAAAGATACACATGTGGGTATGTGTCTGTGTGTGTACATAATTGGCCACTCTCTGGAATTATAAATAAAATTAATTTGAGGATTTTTTTGGCTCTAGTTTGCCTCACTCTGCTAAAAATTATCTTGAGGTTTGTATATTTTTGACCAAACTCCAGTCCTGGCACTGGCAACTGGCAAAAGGTTCCACACCCCTGCCCACCCCCCGCCATCAGATGTCCCTGGGATCAATAAGTTCACTAGCCAGGTGGTCCTCACTTACTGTTATGATTTAGGGCTGCAGATAAGCAAACCTGCTCTGTAGCCCAGCTGCCTGCACTGGGGATGCAGCAGCACAGACACAGCGGGAAGCACCTCCAGCCCCCAGAAGACAGGCACAGCACAAGCAGCTTCTGGTGGCTCCAGGTGATGAATCCAAACTCCTTTTCTCCAACTCCCACCCCCTTACAGCAGCAATGAATTCTTGCCACTTAAAACGAGAGGCGGCAAGGAGGAACAGACTGTGAATTTTATTCAGGAGTCTTCAGACACAGCAGTGAAGCAAACACCCTGCTCCCCAAAACTGGGATCTGCTTGGTGCTGGCTGACACAACATGAGGTACCAGCATGTTCATGGTACGCAGGCAGCACACCATTCTCCTTCTCACACTGCTGGCACAGAGCTGCTTTGGGGGGACAGGGGGGGAGGCACCAAGGAATGTGATACCCAGCACAGGGACACCTCCGAGCCATACAGGTGGCCCAGAAAAGGACGGTGGCTCTGCATTTGTCCCCAGGCCACAAGCCCACACCAGTTGCCTGCAACAGTGAAAGGGCAAGGGCTGGTCCTTCCACAGCTGCCACCACCTCGGTCCGCATTTGCATCCAGGGTGCTCAGGAAGGGACCGCAGGCTGCAGTGGCTGATCGCTGATGTCCCCACCAGGGGCCACTGTGACATTAAGGAAAGCCAGACTGCCAGGCATAGGAGGGGGCTGTGGGCTCCCGCTCCTACAGCAGCTCAGGGGCTCCATGCAGCATCTGCCCTCCTCCAGGGCTGGAAGCTCAGGCCTCCGAGGTGAGTTTGTAAAAAAAAATGGCTGTATGTGAAGAGTGAAGGGGGCTGGGGGCGTCACTGTGAGAGAAAGGGCTGCCATACACTGCAGTACAAAAATAAAGATATAAACAAGAAATGAAAAGGCTGGAGTGGAGTGTTCAGATCACATCCTCAGATCTCTGGCTTGTAACAGCTAGAGAAGGAGAGAGAAAGAGAAACACAATCAATGGTAGGAAAAAAAAGCAACTTAGCATGGAGGGGAGAGTGAGAAACAGAAAAGGGGAAATGACAGAAGAAACACAAACAGAAGAAAAAGAAAATAAATGAGGGTGGGAAAATAGAACAGAAGGAAGAAAAAGTCCATGTGATTAACATACACTGAGTCTTAAGATAATAACACTCAGGTCCCACAGCCACAGAGGGAGAGAGAAATGTCAGCCAGCTAACAAGTGTCCTCCATCAGTACCGGTGGAAATTGACACTGAGCATCTCCAGTTTAACAGGAGCCTCACAGTTCTGCAGTATGGAGAGGAATCCTCCTTCTAACACTCTCCCTACCCAGCCCCACACTTGTCGGCCAGCCAGCCTTCCTAAGCAGGAGGCAGAGCAGAGAGGTTCATTTTCCACACAGCTGTGAGAGCATCTGCAGTGGGGACCAGCTGCTTCTGCTCTGCCTTTGCCACCTTTCCCACTGCATTCTCACCCTGGCAGAGCCTGTGGGGGAAAAGCTCAGGGAAGGAAAAATAACAGGCTGCCTTCTGCAAACTGCCCGGGCTGGCAGGCAAAGGAGCTGCGGACGCAGTCTGGAGGAGCGATCTGGCATGCATGTCACGCAGACACGTGGCAAAATTCCACCCCTTCCCCAAACCACCCCGGCCTGCTTTGCATTCATTTCCACCCCTCTCCCAGCTGCACTCTCCTTTCTGCTGCCAGAGCCTCTGGTCCACAGCCATAGGATCTGCTTGGCAGGTAAAGGCACGCATAGGATCAGAATATGTAAAGCCACCTTAGGGATGAGTCAACCTCACACCTCCCTCCTTCCCCTCCCCAAGCTCTACAAACCAGGGCCATACCCACAAGAGGGAAGTGAGTCACTCATGCAGAGCTCAGGCTGGCAGGAGCTGGGAGTGCAGACAGGTAACATACCTGCAGAGGAGGAAAAGTGAGGAGCAGAGAGAGACAGGGCCCTGGGCAGAGACCACTCTGAGCCCTGAGGGACAAGGAGAGCAGAGGGAAGGATGCTGGAGGCTGGCGAGTGGGGCAATGTGGGAGGTAGATGGCAGTGCTGGGATGGACACGGAAGGGAGCAGGAGGGAGGGTCCGCAGGAAGAGAGTTTAGCACAATCCTGAATAGATGGACGGTCTGCAAATAAAAATAAAACCGTAGATAAACCAAACAGTTTAAAATACAAAGCAGCAGCCATGGTAACAGCTCTCCCCTGACAGCTTTATCTCCAGAGAGACTCCAACTCCTGGAGAGGACAGCCCCCACACCCCACACCTGTTCTAATCCTTCCCTGCTGCTAGCTGTGAGCTCTCACCAGAAAGGTGGACGAGTCTATGCCTGGGGGGTTATTTTTATCATTTTCCTCAGGGATTTGCTGCACCTTTCTCCTCTGCTTCTGCTTCTGCCTCTGCCTCCTCCTCCACCTCCTGCTCTTCCTCCTCCAGGTCCTCCTCTGTGTTCTGTGGCCCAGCATGTGGGACAAAAGGAAGAAAGAGTGGAAATGCTTGCAAGATGAGCCATGGCAGTTCTTTCTGACACACAACGGAACAAAGCAATTGTCATAACACTGGAATAAAAAGGGACTTTTCCCCATGGCCAAGACAATTCTAGGTCAGGGAACAGAGAGGGTTGTTTTCCTCTGGAGTATCACATCAGGGTATCTAACCCACTTACAAGTGCTGTGACCCCACCGTCCAACAACTGCCATCAGTTGCTAGTGTTCCTTCCTGCATCCTGGGTGCCTACAGAATGTCATGCACTGCACATGTTTCTGTTCTTCCCTCAAATGGGGAGCAGGAGATATCTGCCCCTCAGGCTGAGACTCAAAAAGGAAAGAGAATGCTGCAAAACCTTCAGGGAAATAATGCCCTATAGGCAGTGATACACACAGAATGGGCATGAGGAGGCATGAGGGGGATGTTAGAGTAGCATGAGAGGCGCCAGGATGACTTGCTAAAGCCATTTGCCGCACACAACCACACACCACCCCTCCAACACACATACTCCTCCTTTTGGGCAACGGGTGTAATGCCACAGTGCTGAACACCAGGGCAGGCCCCTGTATTTCACCACTGAGGTGCCCCACTGTTGCAAGGGAGAGAGAAAAGAGAGAAGGAGCAAAGAGCAAAGGATCTCATAGGCAATGGGAGCAGGGCCATAGCAAAGTTAATCTCACCTTGGCTTTGTGGCTGGGCTCAGAGCTCAGGCCATTGGGGGAGTTGTACAACTCCTTGGAGACCACGCACAGGAATTCTGTCTGATCCTCATTCCCATAATTATAGGATGAGCCAATGTTCACAAGCTAGAAAAGATGAGAGCAAGAATCACAAGCACATATTCCTGGAAACACCCACTCCACCTGGGGAGCAAGGCAGAAAGCCCATCATGCAGCACTGAGTCCAATGCATAATCCTGTTGGAAAGGCCTCATAACTAAGCCGAGGAGACAACACAGGGAAGCAGGAGAGAAGTCAGCCAGGATGCAAAACAGGCTGGCCTCACACAGTATCCTCTAAACCTCTAGAAAGGGGCAAGAAAGAGTCATTGATTGAGCATGATGAGTCAATCAATGACTTACCCAGTATTCTCAGAGAGGGAAGGAGCCTTGCCTGGCAACTGTATGGTATCCATGATCTTTTCCCCAGAAGACAACTCCTTCTCCCCCTGCTCTGCCTTACCCATACCTGCTCAAAGCGCCATCCATCTGACATAGTGGAAACCATCTGAGTGAGCTCCTCTTCCTGGCACTGCAGCACACGGTAGACATGCTTAGGAGGCACCTGAGAGCAAAATTGCAGAGCACAACTGACAACTGTCACATGCTAAAAGCTATTCCCCTCCTGCAGAATGAAGTGGTAATACCCCTCCTTAACAGACCTGTCCTCTTCCCCATGTCCCAGGTGAAAGGGCAGTGGGAACCACAATCCAGCTTTCTCCTGTGCTGTCACTGGAGGCAAGAACAGTATCTCTTCTGAAGAGTAGGGACGGAGCTGAGTGCTCCCTGCATTGTCCCCAGAAGATACTGCCCTCTTTTGATGGGGAGCATGCACTCGTAAGTACAAAATAATTTTTGCAAATGCAACAAATGCTGAGGGGGCTTTGCAGCACAAAGCGGCTGTGCTGCTGGAGGCTTACAATCTGAGGAAGACAAGATGAAAAGTAAGATAGCAGACAATCCTCCCTCTAAGAAAGATTTTCAAAGGTTGCTGGCCAAGACAGGGTGTGATTGTGCCACAGGATTGATTATTTGTCTGCATTTAACTCTTTCACAGCCATCTCTTCACCTGTTTCCTCCAGGTTTCTCTACAGGTATTTCCATGCTCTTCATTGTGATTACACTCCCAGGACTCCCCACACCAGTCCTCCTCCCCATGACACCTTTGCTCTCCTCACAAACATTCCTCTATATCACACAGTAACCAGCTGCCTTCTTCCAAAAGCTAGAGGAGCTTAATTTCAGGGGCTACATTCAGCATTACTTCTGGGATGAAAAGCAAGACTGCAACTTGTTTATTGTAACTAAATTGGTGGTAGCTTGTCCCCTGCAAGATTTTGCTGCATTGGGATTAGCACATAATCTCTAATTAGTTGTTTCCTTCCGTTCCTTGCTGCTTCTCTCAAGTCTTCTCTCACTCTGGACTCACCTCTCTCCTTTTTTACACGCCCTGCTTTCCCCACCCCACTCCATCTTGCCATACCTGTGTTACTGTGTAGTCCTTCTCCTCCATTCGATCCTTGATTATTCGGATCAAAGGACCAATGTTATAGAACTCAGCTTCTTCAAGGATCCCTGAGAAAGACAGACAGAAGGACCACAAAGACAGAAAGTTAGCAGCTCGTCTTTATTTTTTGACTTGCAAAAGATCAATTCTGAGCCTCACAAGGTCCATAGGGAGAAATTATATTACTGCTTTTCTTTTTAACAGGCTTGAAACCCTTACTGCAGAAAATTGAAACTTGGCTCTCTGCATCTTGTTTCTAATGCTCACCCCAACTTCCTTATGCTGCCTGCTACTACAGAAACAGGCACTGCCAGTGAAGGCTTGTGCTGAGGACTGCCAATACCTTTCCCAGATACCTGGCCAAGGAGAACAACTGTAGGCTTCAGTCTCTCTCAATGACCATTTGTCTGACCTTGCTCAGACTTTCTTAATAAGGCAGAAAACAAAACCTTGCAGTTCTGGCAAGTCACCAAAAGACCCTAGAAAAGCCTAGCTTACCTCCTAGGCCACTTGGAGTTGCAGCCTCATATGACTTTATATGATCTTTGGCTCTATTCCCCATGCTTCAACTGAAAAGAGGTAAATGGAAATGTTTTTGTTTTTTTCTCTATGGTGTTTGCATCCATCGCCTCTCCTGAGACTCACCTGTTCGCTAACAGGTCTTCAGGAAAAGAGAGGTGGTTCCCAGAGAATCAGTGAGGGAAAGTTGGCTGGAAGCCAACACTCACATGTTCCCAGGGCAGTACAAAGAAAATATAGATGGGGAGGTCCCTCACTACCTGACACACTCAGACCTCTTCTGTGTCTCTCATTCAGCAGTGAATTGTCTACTAGGTTAGTCTTATGCCAGCCTAAATGTTTGCAGCAGGATAAAAAAAGGCAATGCAAATTAACTGGGCTCCTGTTTATGTTTCAGATTTGATATTAAAACCTGCAGATGAACTCTCTCTGACCCGAGGCTTACAAGAAATGTAAAGTAGGAAACACCTCAAAATTGTGCTTATTACAATCTTGTACCAATAGTTGGGTATATTTTTGGAATTATAACTGGTAAGACTATTCAGAAGAAAAGTTTCCTTGCTTTAGGTAAAAATGTTTAAGAAAGGCAAGAAGACAAATGACCATGCAGAAACCATGTTTGGCAAGGGCTGGACAGCACAACCTGTATTTGGAATTGGCTCCTTATTACACCCTAGCATCCAAAAAATAACAAGGCACTGTGGACTGCTGACTGGTAACACTGTGATGTCACTAAGTCATTCTATTAGACCCACTGTCAACCTCAGATGAAGGATTAGTTTGTCTGACTTGTTCCACTGGAATTTCTGCAGTCCACAACCATGAGAGCACAAGCAGCATAACAGTGCATATCACTGATTAATGATGGTCTTTATTGCAGTCAGTAGAAGAGATGAACTTGGTTTTGTTTGGTCTATTGGGCTTTCATTCCTAATTAGAAACAGACATTAATAGAAAACTCAGTCATAGAGCCTGGTTAAAAGTAGATCAGGAACCAGTAAAAAATGGCTTATTGAGGCTCTGAGATCCTGCCTACTTCTGTCTTGGTGACATCTCTGCTGGACAGTTGCGATGCCACAACACCTGCAAGGATGCCTTCCTCACCCACTGCAAACCCCTTTAGTAAAGGAGACATTGTCATACTTCACAGGGATAGCTCTCTGAAATCCCCCCACATCAACATCCAAAACAAGAACAAGAGACAACAAGATTGACCACAAGTCCTATTTTTCCTAAATATGGGAAGTGGGATTTTTCTGAGCACCACAACTCACCCTCTTCAGCCATATCTTTATCCAGGACCAGTTTCCCATGACGGAGGAAATTCAGAATCGGTCCAAAGTAAGTGGGGTCCCGATCTATTAGGTATGCACCAGTTTCATCCTAGCAACAGATATAGATCACAAGGAGAAAAAACCCAAGGAAAACTGTAACCAACTGTAAATACCCTAGAATACAAGAAAATACAAGCCTAAGCAAATATGTCCACTATTTCTAAGATTCTTTGGAAACCATCAGTCCCTGAGAGTCCCTAGCCAAGTCAGTCCAGCTTGGATTTTAACTCCTGTATTGATCTGCTCAGCATGCCCACCTCAGCATGAATCAATCTAGCTGAAAAAGTCCAAAAAATAGGCCTCAGCCTCTTTGTGTAACTGTGAATCTCGGCCTGGTGCAAGAGAGCAGAGACCGCCTTACAGGAACAAGGCTGAGTCAGGCAGACACAGCTGGGAAGTAAACCCAGGATATGGGGTGACAAAGAGGAAGGAGAGCAGGAGCAGAGGGGAGATGGCCTCTCTTTTCCCCAGCTCAGGAAGGCAGGTGCCAGGCTACAACAAGGTAGAATCGGGCATGGGGAAATCCTTCCCGGGAGAGTGGGGGCAAAGAGCAGGCATTTCTCACTCAGTTGCTCCTGCAGCTGCCGGGGTCTGGCGCCATCCCTGCGTCCCTCCAGCCCTCCCCATGCTCGGTGGGGCACGGTGCGGGAGGCAACCCAGCTGCCTTACCCGGTCCGACTGCAGCTCCTCGCCTTGGCACAAGCGACACAGGAAAGATTTCTGCTCCCGACACAGGGTCTGCCTGGTGGTGAGGAACACGGTGCCCCCCACATTGAGCCTCACCCACTTGGCCTGGGTGCCAGCGGGTGGCGGAATGTCCCAGGTGCAGCGTAGCCCCACGGCGCCCTGCATCTCCTCCCTGCCCTCCATCCTCATCCTCACCCCCACCTCCCCCACGGCGTGCAGGGACTGCCGCAGGTGCTGCCTGTCGGAGAATGCCGGGATCTGTAGTTTATCTGCCTCTCCCTCCGCAGCAGCCGTGTTTCCCGGGGACCAGGATCTTCCCTGTGACTACCAAGGGAGTCCTGAGAGGAGGAAGGTAGCTCGACGCTGGAGGATATCACTGTAGCTATTGGGGTGGGCAAAGCCACAGCTCCACAGCGCTGACAGTCCCTTGGCTTTTCCCCTGTTCCCGTTTTCACAGACCATGGGCCGGTCAGCACTCCGGAGGTGCAGGGTGTTATGCAAAAATCGTCGGCATTTATTTCCACAGACATCCTCTCTTTAAAAGGTTCTGGGAACTGTAGTTTCGCCGGGACATGCACAAAAGGGTGATGGGAACTGTAGTTTTCCCAGCTCGCAGTTCCTGCAATGAGGATGCTGTAACGAAGGGCACTGCACACATGACGCCAGCCCTGCGGCCGGTACTCTGCCTGCTTCCAATCCTGGGTCTTGTCTGCAAGCTTCCTCGGAGACAGGAAGCACAAGCTGCTTCCTGGCAGTCGGCAGATTAAGCCCCTCAGGGCTGTACTTCACAGCATTCCCTTCAGGACATCCATTACCCCAGGCTCAGTGCTCAGTGCCACATCAGTTGCCATACTTTCTTGCAGCAAAATATGCAGACAGTTGCCTTCTTGCTAACGTACGTAGGGACAGTTCTGGGAACTGTATTTTGGATCTGTATGAAGTGCTGGCAGGGGGCAGGAATCATTTTTCTTCCAGCTCAGAGGAGTTGCTGACTCAGCAAACTCCCCCCCTGTGCTGCTCTACCAGCGCAAACCCCCCACGTCCTTCCCCTGGGCTCCTGCCATCCCTGTTTGTGTCTGGGCAAGAGAGCTCAGAGTGTAACTCAGCTCTCTGTGGAGTTTTACCTCTGCCCCAGGCATGTATCACCCGCCGAGGCTGATGTGCCAATCCCGTGTTATGGAATCTAGCCCTGCCTCTGCCACTTGCTCCTGCCAGGCCAAACCTGGTGCTCAGCAGTTCATGCCCCAGGGGACTCTGTTCAAACACACTCCTTGGCACAGAAACAATCTGAACAAGCTCTCTCCAACAGCTCTGCCTTACCCACTCCCACCTAAGCATTGCTGTGCTTGCTAGCAGCTCGAGCACATTAAGAATGGAAAGGAAAGGCTGGTGTTTCACCCCATTGTGGCTCAAAACCTTCCTCCACCTAAGCAACTTCCTGGCTCTTCCTTTACAGGGCAATGCAGCACTGCAGAGACACACAACACTTTCTTTTTCTTGCATTTAGATCTTAGTGCCTTTGGACATGGGGGGTTATTGAGTGAAGAGGCTGGGTAAAAAAAAAACATTATGTTTTACTCTTACATTCCTTTCTTCTTGTCCTTCCTTCTTTTACTTGCAAATCACTCCCTTTTATCACTACAGAAGAAGGCAGCATTGCCCTTCCCCCAGTCACCCAGCATTTCCTTCACAAAGATGGCATGTGTACTTTGCTCCTTCTGTGGAGGAGTGCCAAGGGGAGGAGAAGAAGAGAGGGTAACACGGAAGAGGTTTCAAGATTGCTGACCTTCAGTTAATTTAAGGACAGGAACAATTCAGCTGCTTCAGGGTGTAAATTCAAATAATTTTGAACCAGCACTAGAGTGGCCATTAACAGAGCATGAAAAAATATTTTTGTCTACCTATATGGAGCAAGCTCTGGCCAAAATTACTGCCCAGCCCTGGGACCAGTCTCCACTGAGCAGTAACATGCATCTAAGATACTCGGACTAACACTGACCTGGGCTGAAGTGTCACAGTGCAACACAGCTCTCGGCTGTCAGACTGCTGTCCTCCTAATTCTGCCTCTGAGTCAAACCACAGCAAATTGGAGACCTCTGCCCTGCCCTCTGGTGTGTGAGGACTACAGGACCCTCTCTGTGCTGGCTGCAGCTCCAGCACAGAACTGGGGTGAGGATTGTGGCTCTCCAATATGAATGCAGCAGTTGGGTAGCAGACTATAGCCATTTATCTTCCCCTCCAAGAAATCTGCCCTGCCTTCAATTTTTTTCCCTCTTTCACCAAGGGTTCACCCTCTCCTTTTCCTCCTCTCACATCCCCTCAGCCTCTTTTTAAGGTCCATCTCTTGCTCTCAACATCTTCTTTTCCAACCTCCCCCATGACAATGCTGCTCATGAGTCCAGGATGGCCTATATTCAAGGCATACTTTGTTCCATCAATACCAGTCTCCACTTGTGGCTGGAACCTCAAGTCTTGCTCACCTCAGGGCCACGGGGTGAAAAGTTAATTGCTAAATCTAAAGAGGTATATTGTGAGTAAGGAAAGATGTCAAGGAACACCACTTCTAATATCAGAGCCTTTTTTTCTGCAATATACAGCAAAAAAATCATTGAAAATGCACCAGGCCAGGGATTTCCCCACAGTATATGAAAATACTCCTCAGTAAGAAGCCAGTATGGGGTGAGTTACCACCTGAAATGTTCTGATGAGTTGGTGGCATGGGCTAAATACAGACTTGATTGCACACTATCACCAGATGTAGTTCTGAGATGCAATTAAGGCACCCATGTTAAGGTCCCCTAAAATCAAGAAATAGGACACAGGAGAGGTAAGTTTAAACAATCAGTGGTGTTCGGTCAAAGGTTGGACTTAATGATATCAGTTCTTTCTCAGTCTTATGGTTTTATGAGTCTATGACTTGTTCCTGCTGCCTTTTTGACAACTGTATATAAAATATATGCACAGAGGGAGAGCAAGCAACAGCTTACACAGTGCTGTGTGATGCTCTAAGACCCTATAACCTTGCAGAGTCCCCAGAGAAATCATGGGGACCATTGCTCAGGCAGACTGGGAGCAGGAAAAACTTGACAGCCACTGGATATTGAACAAGAGCTGAGGAGGAGAGAGCAGGACATAAACTGGGAGTGTCTTGGTTCAGCAGTCAGGCCTGCAATGCAATCCTGCAGAAGGCTACACACACTGCAGTGCTCTGCAGCTTGCTACATGGCATATGATGCATCACTGGCATTGTAGAGCTGCTCTTCTGGAACTGTTGCATTGTGGAACAGCAGTGGGAGCAGGGATCACCGTGTGTTGGCACAGAGTGTCACCACTCTGACAGGCTGGGAACACATACTTGGGATTACATGGCAGTAGGCACTGGAGAAGAAACCAGGAAAAACTAGTTGGCATGTCCATATAGGATCAGTGCCACTCTCTTTTCTGCAGGAAGTGGAGAGGGGAAGACAAGTGATGCTCTGACATTTTGCCAGTAAGCCAACAGGGAATCGGGCAAATAAAATTCCCTACACTGGACTTGGGGACGGACACAGTTGAATAATAGAGCGCAGCTTGACTGCCAGCTGAGCCAGGCACATTGAAGCATGAAGAGAAAGGCTCCATGGCATACAGGCAAGCTAACCTTCCTCCAGCTCCATGAGGAGCTGTGAGCAATGTACCTGCATTCAAAGCAGTGTGCAAAGCCTGTGTGTGGATGTGCATCATGCAGCACCTTTGCTGAAGACTGCTGGGAGGAGGAGACAGAATGGCTGTGTAGCACCTGGCTGTAAGCTGAGACCAGGAGAGATGGGAGGAATATAAAATGTCCCTGCAGGCAACACCAATTACCATGGCTCATACAGTGCTCAGGCCAGTGGTGCTGGTAGAAGGGCTGCTTTAGAATTTGGAAAAATTTGCAGAGAAACAAAGTTTGCTGGGAAATGAAGCATGAAATAGTGCAGCCTGACTGCTAGGGAGTGGGATGGAAGGAAGAGGAAAAGGAAGAGAGGTGACAAAGAAGACAAGTGAAGAACAGGGGACCATGGGATTACTTTTGACTAGACCAGACTGCACAGAATTCAAACCTCCTTCAGGACAAAAGTATTGCAGATAGTAAATATACCAATAAACAGTTTACATGTTGGCCTGGGATTCTCAAATTTATATAGAGAACTGTAAACTCTAGTCCCAAGATAGCCACAGGTCAGTGTGACCTTCCTCCTACATCAGGGCTGTTGTTTAGGCTACCTTTTTGGCTACCATGAGCCCCATTCCACAAAAGATATGCTATTACCAATCCCCTGTGGCAAATTTTCCACAGGAAAATCATGAACGTTAGTGATTTGCATTATCTCCACTTCTCCCCAGCTTTTGGTTCCTATAGGAAACCCACCCACTGAGTCAGGGACATAAAGATCTGCAGAACATTTATAGTCCTGGTGTAAGTCCCCTCAGCTGTTCCATATGTCCAGTAGCATCTGTTATAGCTCAAAATAGGTTTTACAAGTCTCCAGGATTTGAAAACATTGTCTCGGTCTTCACAAACTTCTCAGTGCTTTGCCTGCATCACCAGAAGGGATCTCAACGAAAAAGAGAGGGAACATCAGAAGACACTCTTGGATAGATTTTTGATACATGATATAAGAGGGAATACCTCAGAAAAACAAAGTATCTTGCTGTGGGAAAGAAGATCTCAGTTTCTCCTCTGTGGAGAAATGAAGGCAAAGTTAAGCATCTGGGAAAACATTTGCCAAAAGCTGGGAAGAATCACTGAGATTTTGTAGCAGAAAATTCAGCCAGAGAAGGGCAGTTGAGTACTGCCAAGCTTGGCTAAATACCAGAGAGGGGGAAGGGCCCTGTTAGATGTCATTAAGCCACAGGGGTGAAATGTAGAGCAAGGGCAGGGGGAAGATTTCAGTGTAATCTGCAATCTCCAGGTGGATGGCTGGGCTGTGTCACACATCTCCCTGCAACACCAGACAGAGAAAAGTATCCCAATCTCAAGAGGAAGCAGAGAGATTCCCCACTGACCCCCAGGACTGATGGGTCAGTGGCAAAAAAAGGAACAGAGTGCTTAGGATGCATCAAAAAATATACTGGAAGGACACACAAGAGCCAGCTCCCTGCATCTATTGCAAATAAGTCTGAAACAATATGTCAATTTTCCTAATAACTAAATTTTACTGGAGAAA